TCTAGTTCACCATTACTCATATTTGTGGTCAATTTTAACAATTGCTTATGCACATTCATGCTTATACTTCTCAGAAACCTACAGTGGAAAGGAAAGGGCAATTCCTTTCTTTGCAAAAGAAAACATGTATCACTGATTTGTAGCATAAAGTATTTCCTCTCTATTAACTCCATTAACCTAGGATTTTCAGTAGAGCTAATCAAGCTAGTTGTTATAGAATATGTACACTATGAATGTAGGTCCTTTACTGTTCAAGAGAATTCCATAAAAAATTATGCTGAGTTTCTCATGTATTTGTCAATTATTCAGCCCTTCTTTAAACACTCTTTAAGTCTTTTTTTCTGTACCGCACCGGAACAGTTTTGTAGAATAATTTCAGGCTTTCATTGTTCAGTTGAGGTTGTTTAGTTAAAATCAGTTTCTGTTCTTTGACTGAAACTCTGTACATCAGAGGAAAGTGTGTTTGAGTGTGAATCAAATAATCATCTGACTACAGCTTAATAGACAACTGTTTCTCCACGTGAGTTAGATTAAAAAATGGCATTAAGGCTTCTTCCAGTCTTCACACCTTTGTTTTGTGTGTAAATAAGTTGGATCCTACAGTGGATTTAGATATTACACGTGTTCAGGCATGGTAAGTGCCTTAGATTGCTGAAAAGTGACGCAATGTTTGGAGATAAAGGTAGGGCACCTGGGGTGGGATTCACTCCAGAGCAGAACACCTACATTTAGATATGTTCTTGGAGGTGTCTGCATGTGAGATGTCTACATGCTCATTGTAGTCAGTGCGTTTATGGTTAGTACAGTCTGTGCAGCGCAGTGCAAGAGCCTAGAGAGCAAGTCAGGTCAACCAACAGACAGAGGGTGCCACAGGACAAATTGTTGCTTTAACCTATGTTTCTAATACACTTCAGAATGCTGTGGCGTATCCCAGGTGGCCTTCAACAGCTGTGTCAGGAGGACACAGGTCTCCCGGTGATCTTGCATCAAAACTGCCAACTTTCATGCAGATGTCTTGGATATCTGAGGGTATCTCAAATGGCAGCAGACTCCAGTGCTTAAGCAACTGAGTCCTTCCCATGCATCTGGTCACCAGACAGCTCTGCAGAATATCTTGCCTGGGCTGACCTGAGGCTTCAGTCTCATTGCGTAAACATATATGTCTAGTGCCATTTTGGGTCTCAGAAGTATCTGAGACACTCATCTGGTTTGGCAGGCAGGATGTAGGAGCAGCATCTGAAGGCCAGGTAGGATCATTAAAGATGTCTCAAATGGCCCTAGGTGTCTAGGCTTTAGCCAGCTGAATTGAGTGTCCAGGGTCCATTGACTGCAATGGGACAGTAGGCCTAGCTCACAAGGAGACACCAGAATGTACGCGCCCTAATTTGGAGTCACATTTCCCCTCTAATACCACAACAACTGACTGGTGGGTTTTTTTGTTTGTTTTTAAGACTGTTAGTTTTCAATTTAAAAAAATTAATTCCATGATCTGTTGCAGAAACATGTGGTACACATTCAAAATACATGAGAGCTGTTTACCCCACAAAAACCTTTCCAAACCACTATACTATTGTCACAGTAAGTGAGAATTTGCTATTTTTCCTTTTCATTATCTGGACGACATAGAAAGGATTTTGTGGTGCCAATCTTTTTGTGGGACATGGGAACTCAAGCTATAGCAGTAAGAGAGATGCTGAGGTAGTACATGCAGGCATGATCTATGTGGCTGTATATGTATGCTATCTGGTTCTGGCCTGTGAATCGGTTATTCCTGATCTTTGTCAGTCTAACTGGATATGGGGGACTATGGGTGAGGACACAGCCATTTTATGAGAGTGTGTGTTAGGATGGGTTTGGCAGCTGATATACAGCCACATGACATATATGGTACTTAATCTGTAGCACATCAGGTTTTATTTGGGCTGGGAAGAAAACAGGGAAACTCAAGGGAACTTGACAGGCACGCTGAATTCACTGGCAGGAATCTGATGATCTGTGTGAGTTAGGAAAGTGTGTTCTGTTCCTGTGATAAAACAGCCCTAAAAATAATTGTGACAGTGCAACAGTGTGCATTGCAACATAGTTTAGGCTCCATTTGATTTCAAGATTCAGTGGTTTTTTTTGTTTATTTTCATTTTGCAGGGATTGTATCCAGAATCTCATGGTATTATTGATAACAGCATGTATGATGTAGACTTGAACAAGCATTTCTCGCTTTCGGGGACGGAAAAATTCAAACCTTCATGGTGGAAGGGGCAGCCAGTAGGTTTATTTCTCATCATGATATTCCTTTATGTCTAGAGTGGCTCATGTGCCATATTGTAAAGCAAAACAAAAAGAGACTAAAATGCAAAGCTGTGTGATATATTTGCAGTACGTGATAAATATCCTGTAGGCTTCGTATTATACGCTGCCTACAAAACAGTTTGCTTTTTATGAAAGTAAAAGAATTCTTAAAATGTTAATTCTGAGACTTAAAAATTTCACTTAATGTGGCAGTTAGTAAAAAAGACTTAAATATTTTGGCTAGTATTGGAATGGATCTCTTGCCACAGGAAGCCACAGTAAATTTTTGATATGGTTTTATTGTGGGGTATTTTTTTGTTTGTCTTTTGACAACTAGCTACAAAATGAAATCTGAAAATCTACTTCCAAATTATATCCGTTTACAAATACACTTGCAAAGTCCAGGCATATAAAAGCAAGGAAGAGAATAGGAAAGAGCTTAATTGTCAGCAAAATGAACACCTATATAACTTATGGCACATTTCATTAAAAAAACCCACCCTGATTGTACCTATGGTTATGATTAATATTATTCATTTACTAGAAATATCAAACTGTGATAATGGTACAAAAATACAAAAAATACACATAGTATATAGTATATCTACTTAATATACATTTATATATTTATTTACGTGTGTGTGTGTGTCTGTGTCTGTGTAGTCATGTTTATAGTATACTCAAGTACCCAGGTTTTGGTGCTATTGTTTCATGAAGGATTCCGTCAGGTTTGTAACAGAACCACAGCTGCACTCTTTAAGATGAATAGAAATATGCCCTCTTATAATAAAGTCATGTAACTAGAATCCTTAGGGTAGGATACGATAGGATAGGATAGGATAGGATAGGATAGAATAGAATAGAATTGAATAGAATAGAATAATTTCAGCTGGAAGGGACCTACAACGATCATCTAGTCCAACTGCCTGACCAATTCAGGGCTGACTAAAAGTTAAAGCATATTATTAAGGTCATTGTCCAAATGCCTCTTAAACACTGACAGGCTTGGGGCATCGACCACCTCTCTGGGAAGCCTGTTCCAGTGTTTGACCACCCTCTCGGTAAAGAAATGCTTCCTAATGTCACGCCTGAACATCCCTGACGCAGCTTTGTATGATTCTTCCATTTTCATGATCCATTCCACTGGCATTTGCCACAGGAAAAAAGATCACTACCTGTTGCCAATTATGGAAATACCTATATGATTTTTTTTTTCTATGCTGAGAATACTCAAGCAATGGCAACATCCTGGCTTCTGTGCTACTAATTTTCTTCAGAATGTGTATGTAGAAAACAAACTTCAAATCAGATATAGTCATTAGGCAACTGCGTGATGTGTGAAAGAAGAAAGAGAAATGCATGCTTGCAGCCCATATTTCTGATCCAATTATGTATTTTTACTTTGGTGATCTGAGGTCCTCCAGTGGTGTAAATGCCATAAAATCATTTGTTTGCATATTTACCCATAGGTCTGGCTGACAGCAATGTACCAAAATTTGAAAGCAGGCACCTTCTTTTGGCCAGGCTCTGACGTTCCAATTAACGGAACATACCCCACCTTGTACTCTGTGTTCAACAGGTAAGTTTTTATAGGGCTTGTAGTAAATTCCTGTAAATTACTCCAAAAATCCAAATTGCCATATGACAGTTGAAGGAAATGAAATATAAGATTTTTAAACAACAGTCTGAGAGATAAGTGCCATGTCACATAGTCCTGGTTTTGCCATGGAACTACCAATAATAGTTGAAATTTTCAAAACCATTTAGGTGATTCACAATGAGAAAGTCAAAGGGTACTGTATATTCTGCTCTCCTAGACAGTTTTGAAAGTTTCAGCCAACTGCAAACCACTGATCTCCCACTAGGAAAGAATCAACTGATTAGTAGCCACTGCTAAGCTATACCAATGATTACTGTATTTCCACACATAAAATCTACACATACTATATAGCCCTTTAAAAATACTCGTACTTGAGAATAAGCTTTCAGATAACCTATACCCTAAGATAATGAAGACAAACCTGGAAGCCATGGCAAGAGGCTATAGGAGGCAGAAACTAATTGAAGAGAGGATGCTGGATAGGGAAGCTACTGAAGGAAGATGGGCTCTAGATCAATTTCCTCTGGTCTTGCTTGCATGTGTGATAATGTGCACACTGCTGCTGAATCATAGTTCTGCATGTTTTGTCTAGTTAGCTCACAGGTTACACGTGAAAATATAGCAATTACCTTCATAGTATTTTTTTTTATGGAAGGCATTGATATTAGTAAATTATTTCTAAATTTTCATGATGATTTCAGTAAATCTCCCATGATTCTTCACATTTACAAAGATAATCTAAAGCAAGTATATACCTGTAAGTCTCTATAGATAACAAAGGTTTTGCAGTGATGTGTAGGATTGGTACTCAGAAAACACCCGAGGACTGTAAGTAACTAACATAAAGCTTGTGCATGACTTTGGGGGAAAGCAAAGCTATTAATGGGTGAATTCCTTCATAGGAGACAAAACATAACCTCACAAAGAATTTGCTGGGGACATTACTTGCTTTTAAAATATGAAAGTCCAAGGTTTATACATGTTGGAAAGAATAAAAATTATTCTGACTTGTACTTCAGGTTTATGCCCTGAACTTGAAATCTCTTTTTTGCATGTATTTAATTATAAATATATGAGTACTCCCACCAACATCACGTTTGTGTTTGCAAAATCAGGATCTGTCTAATTTACCATTAAAAGTGAGTTACATTCAATCAAAAATGAGAATAATAAAACTTATTGCTGGTAACTTGTTAAGATGCATCATTCTTGAAATCCAAATCTGTGACTTTACTATATGACTGGAGGGTGGACACTGTCTCTGTATCTTGGAATTAGAAGGGCTATCAGAAAAGCCTTGTTAACATCTTTTTTTTTTTTTCCCCCCCTCGGGTTACATTTCCCCCCCAGTTCGGTTACATATGAAGAGAGAATTTCAGGAATATTGAAATGGCTTGATTATACCAAATCTAAGAGGTAACACTTAGTAATATCTAGCTGGTTTGTGAGACTATGGCTTGGAAAGGTTTTAATGCTTAGCAATTGAAATTTCTGTTGGTGTTTGTGAAACACGGAATCTTCCTCACCATCTCAAATGATAATTTGCTGAACTTAAGCCTGTTCTAGACGTATAGCTAATCATTTTCAGGATAAGATTGTAGGTACAAAAGATGAAAAAGTGAACATATATCTGCATGGGATGTACTGTTGTTTAAGTTTTCTATTATTGTTGTGTCTTTTTTCTTGGTGCGTGGCTAGAGGAAACATGGAACATTCAGTTTCTAGTCTGAGTGTATGGATGAAAGATTTTATATGAAAGATATTGCACAAGAAAGGTTAAATATCTGAAAATAATTGCAGGCAGTAATTCAGGATGAAAAGTAGATGTCAGTACTGATTGTGGTGCTCAACTTTGTGACATGTAAACAAGTGAGATCTTTTATACGATAATTTGTTAACAAATTCCTAATGTATTTGCAGTTAGGAGATGGTCTCTAGAGCCTCACTGCTTAATCAGGAAGAGATCCTTTAGGTGGTAGTTCCACTTACATCTCAAAAAGGAACAGCTTGCTCTGCTGTCTGAGATCTTGAAGTTTTTCAGAGTGATTTCTGGATACCAATTAAGACACTGGATATGGTTTCTGAAATTGTAACTTCAAATAGTCCATCTTGATTAATTACAAAACTCAGAGGAAGTTGAATGATTAAATTTGTTGTATGGACTTTTATTAAGGTTTAAAGAATTTATTTATAATTCTGTTTTGTTTCATTTATTTTTTTTTTAAATGGAAGTCTGAGCTTTAAAATATGTTCAAACTATTCTTTTGAAATGCTGTCTCCAAATTCTCATAATATTCCATTCTTATTTATTTCTAACTCGAGGCCTGATTTTTTTTCTTAGACTAAATTGCACTAAAAATGGTGCTGTACTATGAACTTATCCAACTTATAATGGAAAGGATGTGTAAGTAGTTTTTGTGTTTTTCTTAGACTAAATTGCACTAAAAATGGTGCTGTACTATGAACTTATCCAACTTATAAACTTGGAAAGGATGGTAGATCAAAAATCACCGTGACTGTTTTATGAGTTTTTATTAAGAACTCTTGCTTGTGGTTGAGCCTATTGTTGTGATTCCAACACTGTGTGTGAATCAAAAAAGCTGTAAACCAAGCAGACTGGCAGAAAATAATTTCAGATCATACTATTAGAAATAATATTAATGGTTGTGGTTAGACTGAACTTTAATTTTATTGCCAAGTGATATTTGGAAGCATGTGGCCTGGCAAATCCTCAGAACTGTCTTTTATTTATTCCTAACACTGTACTTCAATGTTTGTTAATTTGTAACCCCAAAATATTACATTTTTACTTGCGTGCAGGCAAAAAGTTCAGTCTTTAAGGGACTTGGAACTTGTCATATCAGCTCCTTCCTGGAATGGTCTTGTTTAATATATTTGAAAATGGTCTTCAGCAAAACAACTTGTTGTAGTGGACAAGGACAGAAAAACTGATCTTTGTAGGATAATTTTAGGCTCAATAATTGGAAAGGGAACTCCATTTCTCTTTGTACATAAAGGGCTTAAAAACCTATTACTGTATGTGTAATTGTATATGTGTACGTTGTCCATGCATGCAAGACATTCAAGGGAGCGCAGCAGAGTCAGGGGAACAAGAAGGGTGCAAGTGCTCAGACGTGCAGTCGTCAGACTCAGTCGGGTATTGTCCTTACTGTAGAACTTACAAGGAGCCTGTAAGTCAGCTGTGCCAACTAGGGAAGAGCCATCCTCTGTGAATGGCTGCAGGGTGGATTGTGCTGGATTTCTCCCATATTACTTCAGTGGTGGTCAGTGGTTTTCTGTAGGAAGTTTGAAGGGACTGTATATATGAGAGAAGGGCACCATGCCTTCTTGGATGCTATACTGGTCTTATAGATAATAGGTGTGTGTAAATATTTTTGAAACACTGCTTATTGTTAATACAATGACAAGTTCATACTACAACAAGAACTGTATTTAATGTTCTAAATCTGATACTTTGTATAAATTCAGGAGTGAGGAACAAATTTGATCTGAATGTGTTAATTTTTTTCTTTCAATAAACATTTTAAAGCTCAATTTTTCTAAGGTAATAGAAAAAAATTAATTGTGAGTCTTTAAGTTCATATTCTGCGACATTCAAGGGAGCGCAGCAGAGTCAGGGGAACAAGAAGGGTGCAAGTGCTCAGACGTGCAGTCGTCAGACTCAGTCGGGTATTGTCCTTACTGTAGAACTTACAAGGAGCCTGTAAGTCAGCTGTGCCAACTAGGGAAGAGCCATCCTCTGTGAATGGCTGCAGGGTGGATTGTGCTGGATTTCTTCCATATTACTTCAGTGGTGGTCAGTGGTTTTCTGTAGGAAGTTTGAAGGGACTGTATATATGAGAGAAGGGCACCATGCCTTCTTGGATGCTATACTGGTCTTATAGATAATAGGTGTGTGTAAATATTTTTGAAACACTGCTTATTGTTAATACAATGACAAGTTCATACTACAACAAGAACTGTATTTAATGTTCTAAATCTGATACTTTGTATAAATTCAGGAGTGAGGAACAAATTTGATCTGAATGTGTTAATTTTTTTCTTTCAATAAACATTTTAAAGCTCAATTTTTCTAAGGTAATAGAAAAAAATTAATTGTGAGTCTTTAAGTTGCATATTCTGCGGTAGAGTAGTGGAATTCTGCACATCTATACTCTAGTGGTGATGGAAAAAGAAAAGAAGAAGCAATATAAGAACCTGAAAACTGGCAGAAAAGCTCACTTTTTTCAGATTTTGATGATTACATTTAAGTGAGAACTTGAAATCAGCAAGAAAAATTCTAATGAAACTGGTTTATCTCACAGGTAATCAAAGCCTTACAACTAGCAGATCAAGCACTGGGGATGCTAATGGATGGACTTAAACAAAGAAACCTGCACAAATGTGTAAACCTCATTGTTTTAGCTGATCATGGTAATGTATATAGTTCTTTTTTCAATCTAAATTTTACTGAGTCATTGTTTTCTTCCTCTGTGTAATATGTGTGCTTACTAGTTTTAATCTATTTTATAATTCACTTTATCTTCCTTGCCATATATTGTATATCAAAAATAACTGTTTCTATATTGTCCTTTAGGGATGGAGATGACCTACTGCAGACAGTTAGAATATATGACTAATTACTTCAAACAGATTGATTTCTACATATACGCTGGGCCTGCAGCTCGCATTCGAGCAAAAAATGTTCCAAAGGACTATTTTACCTGTAAGTGTGGATCAATCCTGGGATTGCACAGTCAATATAACAGGAAATAAATAACTAAATAGGGAAAATGGATAATCAGTAGTAATCAGCAGAGTGAACAGCTTTCTGTTTCACTTACTGGCTTAAACTGGCTTAAACATCGATGGAAGTTGTTGGGGTTTTTTTGCAAGAATGACCCCTTTAGATGAAATTGAAGATTAGAAAAGCTTGTTGCAGACTCTGATTTGCATTGTCTTGGCATGTGGAAAGATGAAGTAAAGATAGTTTTATTGTTTTGAACTGGAACTTCAGGTCTTCCGTAAGTGCCTTGCTCTTCTCAGATTTCTTGTGTCAACATTGGCAGAGTCAGTCTTTTTGAAGCAGTGACAGTTTCTAACTACAGTTTCTAACTGTGTGTACAAAGGTGGGGAATCCGAATCTTAGCACAGTGGGATCTACGCCTTGGTTGAGCCCTTTAGCTAGCGTCACAAAAGAACACAAAATTGAAACCATGTGAGCTGACTCTGACTCGGAATAGATACCGTGCTGTTAGACTGAAAAAAAACCCATCCCAAAACTTTCTGTATCAGGGAAAAGAATGGAGAGAGGTAAAACCATGGAAGTGCTTTATTTAGTGAGTTTATAGAATTCATAAAGTATTCTAAAAGGCATAATTCTTGCGGATCTCAAATAAGAGCTGGGATCACATTGCACTTTTTATTTATCTTTTCTAATTGTATTTATATTAGTAGGCACAAGATTTATACAACATAAAGCAGACTTTCCTTGGCTTAAGTAGAAGACAGTCTAAGTCAGACAGGAGCAGAGTAATAAGCACAGGAGAGAATAATGATGATTCGTATGTGTCTTAATCTCAGTATACTTGTTGACTCATTTCCTCTAATGGTCTTACTTTTTCTGAAGGAATTTTCCTTCTGTAAAGTGCTCAGATTTGTTTTTTAGAAAGCTAACGTCAAAAGGTTAAAGTCACTCTTTGAAAATGTGGAAGGTGAAAGTACTAAGACAGACTGGATTTTTCTCTGTGACTGCTGCTGGAAGTGGAATACAAGACAAGTGCTCCAGGTCTGGTTCAATGTAAAAAGGGTTATACTTCAAACAGAGATTAGGTGGGAGAAGAAAATTTGGTTCTGATGATGTGTCAGCTTTAGATGTAGGCAGTCATCACCATGGCAGTTTTCTACAGTCTGCCTTCATGTACCCAAAGTGCTAGGTACTTCCAGAGGCTACCACACTTACAGACAGTTACCCTTGAAACGTAACATTCCTACCCATGGAAGGTTATGGTTACTATCATCTTCACAGGCTGATAAAGAAATTCAATTTTACAGACAAAGAGCATGTTGAAATTTTTCTCGTGAGGCTTTGGACCTTTGGCTGCTTGAATGTATGTTAATTCATCTTTTCTTTTTAACAGTTGACTCAGAAGGAATTGTTAAAAACCTCACAGTGAGTAAATATTTTCATAATTTTTCCTCAAAGTTCCTCTTAATAGGAATCTGATCAAAAAGCACGGTTTGTGAAAAACTGAGACTACAGTGCCAGCTTGAATAGTGTACTGACTGCAGTGTACAATAGGAGGCAGCTCTGGAAGTTGTCCAAAGATGGTGTACAAAGGTTTGCCATGGGGGATCTCTGTTCAGAGCAAAAGAATTTTCTGTACTTCACTTTGAAACAGAAGAAGTGGCTGACTTCACGTGGAGAAAGTAGGGTATATCTTCATTGTAGAACAGAATACAACACAGAGATGCTTTAGATAATAGACATCTGTTAGCTCTGGACCACAGGTGCTGCACCCAGGCTAGGTTAAAGCAACTTTTCCATATAACAGATAATGACATTGTAAAGCACATTGCCACAGGGTGTTGCGGAGGCTGGAAATATAAATAGGAAGGGGGGATTTTAGACAAATTAATGGAGGACAGGCCTCTAAAGGCTATTAAACATGATCCACAAGCAACCTCTGACTTAAGAAATCCCTGAAGCCTAGAGGGAACTGGGCAGGTACAAGAAAGAAGGTTCATTCAATACTTGACTTGTTCTTACACACAGAACAATCTTTCCACAGATTCTGGAAATTCTGGAGATCTGATTGGAAACAGAGTACTAGGCAAGATGAACCTTTGGCATGAGGCAGTATGGCTCTTTTAGGATCTTTTATGACAGATCACTTAAGGTACTTGCAGTGCTTTTAGGTGTGCTGCACTACCACTGGGCCCCATGCTGATAGTTCTGCTTGGATCTCTGCCATACTGTGTGGATGTAGCACTTCAGTGCAGGTCCAAGCTTGTCCATGTCTCCCATGTAGACCATTGCTCTTGGTGGGTACACTCTGTGACAGCTGAGCTCTGAAGGGTGCAAACAAAGGAGTGCAGAACAGAGTGCAAAACAAAGGAAGACGAAGCCTATTTCTTTTACTGAAGGTGATAAGATGTGATAGTGTATGTTTTTCCTTATACTTTTTTAGATAGATAATTCGCTGCCTTTTTTTTTTTTTAGTGTTTAACATATACATTAATACATGTGGGATGAATGTGGTGGACAAACTAAAATGCTTGTAGAAAAGTTGTCTTTTTGTATTTCTTTGCATTTATAATTTGCAGTGAGTTAAACATTTAAACTGCTTGCTCTCTATGTATTGCCATAATTTTCCCTTCTTCCCTTCATTGCCAGTTTGTTTTCTATTCTGTGACTAGGCCTAGTCCAAGCAGTAGACAGATGTTCTGATACTTTTAGAATAAATGCTCTCAGCTTGGAAAAATTCTGGGCTGTCTCAGCTAGGTATATTTCTGATAAATCACCACTAGAGGTCATGCTTTAACCTGTTGAACAACTCAGTTGTACAATATTACATGTAGCTTTTGCCTGCTACTAAAGTCCAAAGGGCAGTGAACATTCCTGTTTAATTTTTTCTTGATTCTGAATACCTAAGAACACGTACTTTATTCCCCAGCATCCAAAGCAGATGCGGGAGTAGGATATCAATGGTTGGGAACAGTAAAAGGAGCTTTTTTAGTGCTACATCCCCTACCCCATTGTATGATGTGGAACCTGTCATATCAAAGAGCATTAGCGTGAGGGGAATAGCACAATTTGCATGTTCTCAACCGCAGTTGAAACTTCAACTGCTAATAGTTACAGAGATGTGACATCCCTACCTTATAGGATTAGCCTGGTATCAGGACACTTCCTCTTTCCTTTTCTATTCATAAATAGAGTTTGTGTATTTTGTCCCTTTCAAGTTCTTAGAATGAGGGTTTTGGACAGAGAAGGGAGTTGTGTGTTGTATGTTAATTGCTAATCAATAGACATGAAGTCACATTATATGTTGATTTCCTCTATTTTTCCCTTTAATTAGACTATCCTTTGTAGAATGACCTCCTCTCCTGGGCTAGCAAACCCACTGAATCCTTATTTTTCATGTTTCTGGATTCCGCTATGCTTCTTTGATGACCATCCAGGCACACTTACTCTCATTTCATGTTAATGTCATTCTGTGCAGAGTATACAATTCTAATACTTAGAGGTGAAGATGTCAGATCAGACTCCAAGCATGCTATTGTTTGTACTGCCTGTGTGGTAAAACAGGTCCACTTCTCTGGCTTACCCAGCTTCCTAGCAGCTCTTCCCTCAGCATTTAGTGTGTTGTCCCAGTGATGGATTCCTGATCAGGAGCAACACTTCTGAAACATTGCCATGATGCTTGCAGCCAGCTGGAATGGCTCCTGATGGCCCTATGTAGTTAAATCTTTGTAGTATGTCATATGGTTGTCATTATGCTCTCGATGCCAAACTCATTCATGGCATGCCTGCTAACACAACAGTTATATTAACACATTAAATGTGGATATAAAAGCTAAGGCCTTTAGCTAACAGCTGAGCACTGGACATTTACATGGCATGAGAGTACATGTTCAGTCTTGCAGCTAAAACCCTATACTGTACTACATTATGTATACTTGATTTTCTTTGCTATTTATTGAATGGTAAAGTAATAGAAGATGGCAGAAATAAACTGTCAGGGAACTTTCTCTTGTAGAGTGTAATCTTACATACTAGATGCCAGTGACATTAGTATGGACATATAGACTAAACATTACTACTAAATGTCTTTCAGCCTTAAGAGTACTTTTACCACAGTATTTGTGAACTTGCTATACATATTATAGCAGTATATTTTCAAACAGTTCCAAAAAAAAGCCGCTTTTCCTTCCATTGCTTCTTGGGACAAAAATGAGATCTGCAGGTTATCGGAGAAGCTATCTGTGAAGAATGTGCTTTGTGCTTACATTCCTGTCACTGAGATGTTTGTGATAATTTTGAATGATGGGTTTATTTTTGATACTGAGCAAAATTCATGACTGGGCTCTTTCCTCTTGCACAGTGCAAAAGATCTCCCCAGCACTTCAAGCCTTATCTGACGCCTGACTTGCCAAAACGATTCCACTATGCTAACAACATTCGTATTGATAAAGTTCATCTTTTGGTGGATCGACAGTGGCTGGCTGTGAGGTAACATAGTTTGTGTGACTGTTATCGTACCTTTTTCATCCCATTCTCATCCTTTTAATTTCCTTCACGGATGCCTCATTTCCTGTTTTGCTTTAGACTTGTTACATTTCCATGTTTGTTACATTTAAAATCTTACTATGTGTAAAAAGGAAACGTGCCTTATACATAAAGCCAAGAAAGTATTATTAGTACGATTCAAACCTTAACAGTCTAATAAAAGAATCGTCATTACTCCAGATCAAATTTTTACAGAAAAAAAGGAAGAAAAAAGAAAATAAAGAAATGAATACTACTACACAGAAAAAGTCTCAAAAATAATGCAGCTAAAATTGTTATACAAAGCCTTCCTAGTATCTAGCTCTTTTCCTGGTGTTACAGTCACCCCTCCACTGCCCTTCTGGGTCCTAAGGCTGATGGCTTCAGTCTGGTGCATGTGTGGATGTGGCCACTAATCAGCATTATGAGTTCTTCATCAGGAGGAACATGATGTTGATGTTTCTTCTTCCTCACTCTGTGATCCGCATGGGGTCCTTCCTCTCTGTATGCTAACACTACAGCTTGCTCGTTCTTCACTGGCCTGCAAGTTAACATTACATCTCAGTTTACTAGATATGGTACATTCTACACGTGTTAGATATTTGTTCTTTATTCTCTTTCTTACCTCTAAGTCTGGTTTTGCTCAGTTCCAGATCTGCATTTCCTTAATTGACCATCAGTGAGTTGTTTCTAGCCTTGGGGTCTCCATTCTACACAGAATAACTAATTGTTACTGCTATCTGTATAAAAACTATGTCTTTGCTATGCAAAGATAAGCTGATAAGATAACAAATTAGACATAACCACCTTGTCATTACAAAAAATTGCTGTAAGAGCTAAACAATTAAAAAATAGCTCTGAGCAAGTCAAAAACGGTCCAGACAAGCCTTTGTCCTGAGGCTTTGAAAACTCAGTACAAAGCCTGTGGTGTTGGTAGCAATACTGTATTTGCTAGGCTACAGTGTTGAAGTAGGAGGAGCATGAGCTGACTTGGAATTTCAAGACTATTCAAATAGTAGAAAATGCCTGATCAGTATATGACTTGATTGTTTGTTTTGATGCAACCAAATAATTGTCCTGGACATATAAAAAGAAATGCCCACTGAAAAATCTCATATTCACCCTTTTTTTAACTGTGCTCATATGTTCTTGTGCCTCTGAAAACAGGATACATGTGCTTGACAACTGTGCATTGAATCAGTATGGGATGACTATCTCTTTATCTTTCCACGTATCTCAGCAACGGGTTAATTAAAACAAGTGTCAGTCATTATAAGTCAGACTATTCTGACATGTTATTAATTCTATAACCCACACAAACACATTCACATCTCTCCTTCACCCTTTAGAATCCATGATGAAAATGCACTCTTGTAAGGCAAAATCGCTTGCAGTCTTATTTATATTGTTCTAACAGCAGAGTTCTCCCATTATAAGTTTTCTATTAAAATGCAGATACCACAGAATATGTGAGGAATTCTTCCTAAGCAGATTACACTTGTTCTGAAACTTGTAGCTAGGTGAAGGCCTCAGTTCAAAAATACCCATTTTTTCAATTTATTTTGAAAACATTGATTCACTGTACACTCAGTAGCTACCTAGGATAATTTATTTCTGTCCATAGCAATCTCTGTTACAGGAGAAAGAGATCATCATAAAAGTGAACACTGGATGAGCAAAAAGTACTACCATATTATGCCAGAGTCAGTTCTTAAGACATGATCCAGAGTCCGGTGATTCAGGATGACTGTTAGTAACTGGTTCTATTTGTGCCATTTTTATTTACACTATATGATGGTTTCTCCTTAGGGATGGAGGTTACACATTCTGTGATAGGGGTAACCATGGCTATAACAACGAATTTAAAAGTATGGAGGTAAGATGATTTCTATTCAAGTCTTGCACCTTCTTATATAGAAAATCACGCTGTGCTAGGTGAACCACCAGAATATAGAATATATGATAGTTTTTGCAGTGTGCTTTTTTTTCTGTGTCACCCAGACACGTAAACTGTGAACACATACTGGGTCCACGTATCTGTATTGCCTTTCATCAATGTGTATGAGGCTTGCTTCCTTGGGATCCTAACTCCATGGAGCAGATAGACTACAGTAAACCAAGCATACCATGTTTAGCTATGGGACACTGAGTTCTTTCATTCTTTCATTCTTCTACTGAAGTAATGACTGAAAAATCTCCATAGGCTCTGGGAGTTCAGTTGGGCACCTGAAAACCTGTGTGCTCAAATAAACTAAGTCTCATTGTCTCTTCTTATCTTACAAGACTAAATCATATCGTCAGAGCAAAAAAGTCCTTGGTATAACCTGTGTGTTAGTATAGCCTGTATTGCAGTTTCAACACATTTTGACTACTGGTTACAGTGAAAATATTTTGAAGTCTTGAGCTTTAGTTTTTTTCATGTACTTTCTGTGATGTGAACCTTTAAGTAAGGTCAAGCATGCCACTAGTAGTCCCATATCTGTGCCAAAGAATCAGATTCTTCCAGATCTTCACAACTATATTAAAACCATGTGTCAATATACTGATCAGAATGGTGCTGAACGTTTGTATGGAACGAAAAGGTAAATTCTGGTTACCATGGAAACCTTAATCATAGATAACCTTATGCTGGTGGCACAATGACTGAGGAATTTTTTTTCTTTATAAAGGAGCAAAATGTCTTAATGTTGTCTTTTTAAAATAAATTAAAAATTCCTTTTCTATTATGGGAACATAAGAATATTATTTTAGAACAGATCATTGTCCTGTTTAGTCATGTTTCCTGTATCTTATGGCAGGCAACTCAGGAGGCTTATAAAGTAGTAGAAACTAATGTGAGACTGTAAGTAGTATCGGTGTTCTGCTACAATGCTTGCAGACCCCAGCAGGGGCCGCCCAGCACTACATTGTACCATTGGTGGTACTGATGCAGGTCTCTGCTGAGCTTGGGATGGGTCTCCGCAGTTCCCTGCTCCTTGCTTTAGCCATGGCTATAGGCTCTTAAGTGACCCAAAGACTTCTGAGAATGCAACATGTATTAAAAAAACCAACCAAACAAACAAGCCCCAACCCCCCAGTGCTTATATATCTGGCTCAATATTAGCCTTTATGTAGGACCTGTGAGTGTCATAACTCTGCATTTGTTGAAATGGCATTGTTACTGGCTGTTGCAATGAAAACATAAAAAGGTGTGAATTCGAAACATAGCAAACAATAATTTTCGTAAGTATGCATCAAAATATGAACATCCCCCCCCCAGATTCATAAAATATTTTAATGTATCCTGAGAAATGAATTTATGTTTTGCATTTTTCTTCAAATTATATGCAATGGGCAAAATTTGCCTTCTTTACCAGAACAATCCTGCATTTTAACTTTTATGACTGTGAAAAGATTGTATTTTGTTCCAATGTCCCTGTTTCCGTAAAATGCAACTGAATTGTTTTTGAATTTGGATTCCTTTGGATAACAACTTTTGTGTTATTACAATCCAGGCTATATTCTTAGCATATGGCCCAAGCTTTAAAGAGAAAACAGAAGTGGATGCTTTTGAAAACATCGAGGTTTACAACCTTATGTGTGGTGAGTAGAAACAATCCAGTATGTTAGATGATAAACCCAAATTTCAAATTCCAGTGTTGTAAGAGCTAAAAAAAAAATAACTAAAAATTGAGTGAATTCATTCAGAAGCTAGGTTTTTCACACAAAACACCGAAGCCATGCTCTTTTGCCTTCTGTACAGTGATAAAAGATTAACTGCCAAAAATTGTTCTGCTTTGAAGGTTGTTTCTGATTGCAGAAGGATTCCACTAAAGAATCAGAGAGAAGCGCTCCTGCCACGTGGGCTTGCTGTTGAAATGATGCCTATGGAATAATTGTGGGATAAGAATCTTGTAGAGAGTTACCACTCTTGCTCATAACTTAAGATGGACCACTGCAGTCCCGGCAGTGAGCAATTAGGAAGTATGTGCCTCAGAAAATATGGATTAAGGCATCACGCAAAAATGCAATAGGCTAGTACGCTTCACACCGTGATGCATTTGCAATCATATTTGTACTCTGCATTAAATCTTCTAATCTTATGAATGTTATGGCAATGTATAAAACTGTATCAACAGTACTCAAATACATAATTACCAAATCTTGATGCAGTGGAAGATAGCAATGAACTTTCATACCTAGAAAATTGCAAGTTGATGCTAGTAGTTACCATAATAGTTTAGATAACAGAATAAGCTATTTCTTCTATATTTAGAATGAATGCATAGGAAAGGCGTAGAATTGGAAAGATAATGACTTTTAAAAATGCCATTTTAGTCTTAAAATATGTTTACAAATTTCAAATGTTTCAACAGATTTGCTGCATATTACACCAGCACCAAACAATGGAACACATGGCAGCTTGAATCACCTCTTAAAAAAACCTTTTTACAATCCTTCACATGCAAAAGAAGACTCATCTCCTTCTTCATGTCCAGTTTCCCATCTGACTCCCACACATGAACTGGGATGCACATGCACGCATGTAAGTAGGGGCTTCTGAGATCTTTTAATCATCTTTGTCAAGTGTGTTCTCTTTTCTTTGTTTTTTCTAAACTATGGATTCATTCTGAATGATTCTCTTACATTTTACAGGTATCAAATGTTTCAGTATTAAATGAGAGGTTAAATCTCACCACAGAAGAAAGTAAGTAGCAAGAAATGAAAAGGACAGCAATATTTTCAAATCTATGCAGCAAGAAATGAAAAGGACAGCAATATTTTCGAATCTATGCCTGGTTTAGATTTTATATTATTGGTTTCAGTGGGATTTTCTGCAATGTTAATTACAATTTAAAGTGAAGTAGGAAAGCCAAGTCAGAAGCATAACTTTTTTTCTTTTTTCTTTGCATTTCATTAAAAAATGCTAATTGATACTGTTATAGCAACATTTATGCATAGGAATTGGATCTGAATCCATTAAAATCTTGGAAAAAAACATACAGGTTTCAGAGGTCTTTGGAGAAAGCCTGAGCACTTCCAGGCTATATGCCATAACTTGATTCCCACTTCGTAACCATAACTTTGCCTTTCTCTGATCAAAAATTCCCATAGATATTTCTGTGTGCTTTTTGTGGGGTTTCTGGAAATTTTAGGAAGAATTGTAATGCTTCCTAGCCAAGTAAGATGTAAATTTCACTCCACTGGCAAGATAAGTTCAAAAGATTTATATTGGTATGAAATCGCAAAGAAAGAAGAATTTGCAAGTCTGATATATTACATTGACTTTTGTACATTAAACATAACATGAAAACTATTTTCTACATTTTTTTATTCCACTCATGAGCTAAGACCTTAAAGAAACACATGCCCATGTTTACTGTTGGTTTTATTTGTATTTATTAATGTTTTAATTTACATTTTTTCGCTGCTCTCTTAAACCTTTGTGCCATCCAAAATGTTGTAGAAGAACGAATCAATAATTATTGTTTAAATTCTAGTAAAAAAGGCAAACTCATATCATTTGCCATATGGGAGACCCAGAGTTCTTCAGAAGAAAAACATCTACTGCCTCCTTTCCCATCATCAGTATGTGAGTGGATACAGCTATGACATCTGGATGCCACTGTGGACTGCGTACACTGTGAATAAGCCTGTAGGTTATCAAATATCCGTACTATTCTTAGATATGTAATATAATGGATTGAAAATGTGGTTCATTCATCAGGAATCCTGGTTAAGGACTGATGGATATCATGTGACTAAAGCCCTTATGTCTGAAAAAGAAAAAGTGTCCTTGATAGCTTTCAAATTTCAACTATCTTAAAATACTGTTTAAAAAAGTGGGTATGGCCATCTGTTAGGGACACCAAAGATACAGAAGAATAGAGCTGCTGGTAAGCTGGTTTCATTAAACCTGTTCTGTAAAAGGGATAAGCTGTCAAGACAGTGCTCCAACTTGCCTGTCAATTCCTGAGGAAAAGCAGGCTATGATTTCTAAAATCAGAAGCTTTTAAGCTTTTCTATGAATATCATGATCTTTTTCCTATTAACAAACCTTTGTACAACTCTGCAAGACAGTTTGTACTAATGCATATTTCTGTATATTCTGTTTATATGCTATTGCATTATATAATTTCTGAAAAATGTAATTATAGCTGAATGAACCTCTGAGAATTCAAGGGTATGTGGCTCTGGAATAAATTGTTTGAATTTTCAGGGTCAGTAAACTAGTGGACGTTCATGAGCTTAATATCCCTATAATTTGACCCTTTTTCTAAGTTGCCCTGAGGAAATAACTTTTACACTTATTTTTCTGTCTGAAGAGAACTGTTACTGACATCTACATGATTTCTTATTTTATCAGTACAAATATGGGGAAATTATTTTACTCAAATATACTCTGCTAGAATGTTAGTATTTCAGAAAGTTTTACTCCATACTTTCTACTGATTTTTCACAATCTGGGTGAAGGATCACAAATCCAACCCTAAGAAGGCTTAAAGTCTAGTGAAACAAATGTCCATTTCAACAAAGATTGTTTTTACTTTTTCATATTTGAAGATCTGCTCTTATACCTTACTATGGAAGTGCATTACCCTAATGAAAACCAGTTATTTGCAGGCAGACTTTTTTTCTGATTTTGCTTTAAAAAGATTAAAAAGTCCCACCAGAGCTGGAGTCTTTTTAATATTTCAGCACCAGCAGCAAAAAGCTCAAAAAAAGCAAATAACTTTTCAGACATTTTCCTTTGTTGAAAACCAAATTCTCAGTTGGAAAAGAAGTGTATAAAGTTCATTCTTGCCCAATATAACATCTAAATAAACAGAAATACGTATTTGTGGGAGTTTCTTATAGTGGTTTATGCAACATTGTGGGAAGCAGCGAATGATTGAGACTGAAGTATTGGAGGGTATAGTTCACAGCACTCTAATACAATGATGTATGTTTTCTATAGAAAGAATAGGAAAGAATAAATTTCCTCTAATACTCTCAGAGACACAAGGGTGAAAGGCTATAACTGTAAGAGCTCACTCACTGACGTACCTTACACAGTAAGCTGACATCATGATTTTTTATTACAACATGTACTAATCAAGAGAAAAAGGCTTTACAAATCATAACAGCAGTGGAAGGACAGAGGAATAGAGCTAATGCCTTTGACAGTAAGCTTTGGCTACAATACTTGGGAATGACAGAAAATTGCAATTTCTACAGAATTTTTATTGCATCCTAGGTTATGTATGTTGTGGATAAAGCCTGTGCAGTGATTTACACAATTTGTAAGGTGGCGCATTTCTTGACATTAGGTAGCTATAAAGAAGGGCTTAAACAGTAAAATAGATGATGCAGGCTGGAGTTCTGCTGGCTTTGTGTGATTTGGAAGTTTTGAAACTGGGCTGGCTGATCAAGCCCACACAGTATTAATCCACCTGCACGTGATAGCAGAATCAGGGTTATTATGAATAATATATAGTTACAGATCTCAAAAAAATGATGTCAGATGGAGTTTTTGTTACTTAGTATTCTCAGTCAAAGGAAAATTTAAGACTGAAGGACATTTATTTTCTTGAGGTTTTATATTCATCTGCCAGGGAGGAAGGTAGACTTTCTTGCAAAAAGATAGTCCCTCCACCTGCCTGCAGACACCTGTGGAATTTAAATAGCTTTGCTACGTAGAATCACTGAAGTTTACTATAAAAATATATTAAAATGTATAACAATCTAATCTATCTTGCAATGGGATGAAAACAGCAATGAGACTTGTATAAATCACTGGGATTTTTGGAACTAAGGCTCAGTGCACTGGGGATTATGGGAGTTTTGTTTTTTGTGGTTTAGTATTTTTTCTTCTTGACTACTGAAAAAAGATTCCTGGAGGTGGCTGAAGTTGACATGACAGACCACAGCAGACTTAGTCTATCATGTAATGCATATAACTCATGCTTCTCGACATTAATTACTAGTTCGTCAAAAGACAATAACCTGCATCAGAAAAGGTAATGCATGATGTGATAGGCAAAGCCATTTTTTAGTTGTAACTGTTTCCTTCAGAAGACATTGTGGTTCTCTGACCTGAAAGACAGGGGCCAAAGGGCTAAAGCTGTTGAATTGGTGATGAATGTTTTTTTCTGATTCTGAAGTTTTGAGGTGTTGGCTATCACTGTTAAGATCTCATTTCTTAATAAATGAGCACTTTCAACAGCTTCTTTGAGAATTGTTCTATTCTTATTGATAGACAATCTGTTTAAAAATAGCTTATTCCTCTATTTTGAGGAAAAGAAATGAAGAAAGGTTGTAGCAGAGTGAGTGTATTAGTTCACAGAGCATTAGCAATATGGCTTGCAATCTGGGGTTGCATTAACTGTTGATCTCATTGTACTGAAAGGTGACACAGACACAGCCATTCTCATCTCTCAACAGCTTTTGATATTGTTTACTTGCTGATTTGTAGATCCTTGAAAAAACAAGCTGAAATTTTCTTGGGTGGTTGCTTTTTCAGTATTTTGAGAGTTCGTAGGTTCAGTATGAATTCTCATGTCTACAGTTGGAGAATTTTCTCCTGTGACGTCCAATGGAAATAGTCATGAGCAGCCTTCATCTCCTAAATGTATGGGAGTGTTCGTGAAACTACAGGTTATATGATATATTACATATGTGATGGACAGGCAGCTCTAAAACACTGTCCTCCTGCCTTGGCACTTGGATTAGAGCTCACAGCTCATATAGTTAACTTCAAGAAAGGTGAAATAACGAGAAGAGAGTTGAGTGGTGTCCTCATCACTTCAAGTTGGACAAAATGTGAATGCTATTAATAACCCAGATTCATGATATAGGTCAAAAGTAGATTCCCTGCTGTATTTGGATAACATTAGATGTGACTACTGTATTTAGTGAGAAGAATGAAGTTCTCTTCAGAACAGTCCTTGGCATGTTTACTCAGACCTTTGTTACTTTGATTCAGGTTTCCCTTCAGAGACTAAAGAAGTTGAAGCCATTGTTGAATATCACAGCTCAATTATTAAGTTTAAAATATTGGTTTCTTCAGTGACCCTGATCCATTAACTCTGCCTTATTGATTTGGACACTAGAAAGGACAAATTGCTCAAATTAATTGGATGTCAGTTTTGTATTGGGATTTACATTTGCTTGACAATGACAGCTTATCTGCTCAGGTGGCAAAGGCAGTCTTTTGTCCTTTATATTTCATTCCATGTGGTATATATATTTTCCATTAATATACAACCTGATCATAATATGGGCATCTACAAGAATTCTCATAAAAGTAAGTAAAGAAATTAAATCAAGAAGTACAAAGAGGCACAAGAAGAACATTCCAGTTCTTTATTTCTGCTCTGTTTTAACCGATCAAAATAAACAATGTACTGAAAATCAATTCAGATGTTTAACTACCGTTTATAAAGGTATAAAGCAAATAAATATGTTCCATTCTTACCAAAATGAAAATCAATTACATGTAAATGAGTATGCAAAAGAAAATGCAGGTAAAGACAGGAAAGCATATTCTGATGTTTTAGTTAATGCTATCGTAAAATTACGATAAAGGTTACAGAAAAGGTTATAGAAAAAAAAGTAAAGGTTATAGAAACAATTATACTCATCAGAATCACTTTTGGCCAGATCTTAGCTAGTGTGCGTGTTAACACGTCTCAGTGAAGTTACTGAAGCTAGCCAGTAAAATGTACTGAATTTACTATTAATTTATTTAGCTTTAACTCTTCAGCAGCACAGACTCTTATTATGGAGACCGCATCCTCAGATGCTAAGATGTGGTGATAGTGTCATCTTTATATACTAGCTGCTTTCCAGGAGGATGTGACATCAAGTTTGTGTTTCCAGAAATATGTAAAAGGGACGAATGAGCCAAACTTGTCACCTGTTTTTGCCTAAGGTATAACCTTATTTTGCTACTACAATTTTACATGCTGCATAAGGATTTCCCTGAATTACCTAAAAACAGAAGTAGAGGAAAAACACTAGGCAGAAAACATCAGCGTCCATTACTTGCATTGACCTGATTCACTATGAAAATAGGAGAAGATTCAATGAAGTCCGTTCTAGAAAGTTAAAACCATACAAAGCATTGGGTTAGCCACAGCCGTGGGTGTAATACTTTTTTTTTTTCCCTTTTCACAGGAAAACACATCTCCTCTTCCTCCCACTATTTCAGACTGTCTGCGGGCTGATGTTAGAATCCCTGTTGCTCAGAGCCAAAATTGTTCCGACTACCCAGAAGAGCTGACCTTCACCCGCAGTTTCCTCTATCCTCCCAGTGAGCATGGTTCTTTTTATAGCTAGAGCTTAGAAAGTCTTAATCAGCTGGATGTGGGTTTATGTTTAAACGTATACACAAACACTAAAACAAACTTCTTCGGATCAGCATGTTGGGCAGAAAAAGGTTCCCAGTGTTTGTAGACTGACCAAAAGCAGGGCAACTGCTACTTGTATCTAAATATTTTCAGTTTAGAACATTTAAGTTTTTCTTTAAAAAATGGAACTACTTGAATGTGATGAAAACTGGTTGGAAAGATGTAAAGGGTTGGAGTGAAGGGCTGTCCCTCTTCCTCTGTATGAATATTCATTTTCTATTGTCAAATTTGATAATTACTTTATTGAACAGATTGTACAAACAAATTTGGAGATATGTTTGCAGTAGGATCATACACTCATGCTCACATGTAAAACGTAATTGAATTATGTGTACCTGCAATTTATAGTGACATATGAACCAAATTTGTGGTTGTATAGTATTTCATTAATTTATACTTTGTTCTTTTATATAGACTTCAATTCATCTGCTCTTGAACAGTATGATGCCTTACTCACCAGCAATATTGTTCCCATGTATAGAGCTTTCAGAGGTAGGTTTTGATTAATTTTGATTAATTTTCTGTAATTATGGTTCTGGATTTGATAAAGCTATGACAAGGACTTAAAAACATTAATGCATGGCCTGCAGTATATCCAGATCTTGTGCAAATATATTTAAAACTTTTTAACAGTAGATGTGTGAAATTTTAAAATGCACTTATGTAAGTTAATTTTTTTCTGTGTATAGTCCTGTGTGACCTCTGCTTAGGTGTACCTGGTCACTTTTGAAATTTCTCTTCATCTCCTGTGTGCTGCCCTAACATGAAATGCTAGCTATGAAACTCTCATGAAAATGTCCCCTTGGGGAAATGCGCAAGGTGAATGAAAATGGCACTTTTTCCTTCCTTTTGCAAGGTCTCAAGAGATGGCAGGACGAAGTTTGTAAACAATGTCCTGATACAGTGCCTGTTTCATCAAGCAGAAACTCAAACCAGACAATACTAATTACTCTTAATTAATAGATAATATTTACTTCAGGCAGATGTTTCTATTATAGAAGTGCAGTAAGCTACATTAACTCTTTCCATCCAGCCTGACTCACATTTGTTTGTAATCATTGATAAGAAATTTTCTACAACTGCGTATCATCCTGTATTACTCTTAGGCCTAGGCTCATTTTCTTAGACAAAGGATAGAAAGAGGAATTGCGTAAGGAAAAAGCTGGAGGAAAAGCAATGATGTAACTACCTTTCTAATGCATTCAGACCTCATTTATTCATTCACTTATGTCATATAAAAACCAGAGATCCAGAAAACCTAAGTGGCTTTAATCTTCCAAGTAAATCAAAGACATTATGAAAAATCCAATTTTCCAAGGAAAACTCTACAAGAGATTTAAACTTACAAGAAGTTACTCTAGACCATAAACAAGAGGTAAATCAATAAGGGTTGCCCTCAATCCCCAAAACCCATCTAGGTTTTTTGCCATGATAGCTGTAAATATTCGAATAGTCTCACTAGCTTATATCCTACAAATTGTATTATTTTCTCAAATAACATCTGTGAAATAAGCCAAATTGCCTAGTGATATTTGACATGAGTTCTGTAGAGTTAGACTAACTCTCAGGTGGTAAATATTCCTCTCACAAAGCCATTATATCAGTTGCTACTGATTGGCACAGTTGCAGGTGCTAGCAGATAGGCCAGAAATGAATGACCTCTCAGCTCTAGAACTGTAGCTTCAGCTTCAGATCGAATGCATTATCTCCACTAGTGCAATAGACCTTGCAGAGCTATAATAACATTTACCGTGCCTCTTTCAATGGTGAGTGAGAGTATGTCCCTTCTGATGAAATCCAAATGTTGTGAAACAAAGAGTTGATTTTACAGGCATCTATACTTTTTATTATTCATCTATTTTTATTATTCATCTATTATTCATCTATGAATAATGATGTTTCAAAAAGAGGAAATATGTTCTTTTTCTTTAGTGGTGAAATAACTTCAAATTTATGTTAAATATGCTTATATTTTCTTTTAATGACAGACATATGGGACTATTTCCATAATGTGCTTCTTCAGGAATATGCTAGAGAAAGGAATGGAGTAAATGTTATCAGTGGACCAGTGTTTGATTACAATTATGATGGCCATTTTGATACTCTTGATGAAATTAAGCAGTAAGTACATGGAAAAGCCAGAAGTCAAACTCCAGATTATTTCCCACTGTATTTCCACACAAACAAAATTCTATTCAAAAAGAACAAGAAACAAGTATCACGAAGAATGGTGTATTCCCTTTATAATACTACATCCACTGTTACTCATACAACAGCAAATGCTCTTGCAAACAGATACAGTACTGTAGAAGTTGAATTTCCAGTAAAGAGAAAAACGCTTTGCAATTACATGTGTATCTATGTACACATGCACAGATACAGACCAGTAATTTGTTTTCCAAGCTTATGCCTAGATTTTGGGTCCTCTGCAACAGAAATACTGGGAGAATATGAGACATCTAAATATGCAGAAGGTGTGCTTAAGCACACTTTTCTCACTTTCATGTTGTGCTCGCTCACCTGTTTGTTGTTTCTCCCTGCTGTCTCAAACTGATGTGTTTTATCAAAGATCAGATTTCTGTGTTTGCCTTCACTGAATCATGTTACTGGGAACGTATAATGTAATGTTCCTGAGTGGTACGTTTGCATAGCTATGGCTTACACAGGTCACTTGAAGGTCTGACAAGTTCTAGGTACATTTTAGCGAGCTCTGGTAGCATAACAAAATACATTTAAAAATTCATCTGTGTGTAGAAACAGAAATAAGAGAAGACTTACATTTAAAAAAATTCTATAAAAGAGAAATATAAAAGATAAAGACCAATTATGTATGTTAGTGAATGAGGACAGAAGGAGGAAAAAACAGAGTAAGAACAAACAACTTAGATTGTTCCAAATACAGGGAAAATGCCTTGTGACAGTAAGAACACTTACGTAGTAGAATCTGTGTGTAGAAACAGAAATAAGAGAAGACTTACATTTAAAAAAATTCTATAAAAGAGAAATATAAAAGATAAAGACCAATTATGTATGTTAGTGAATGAGGACAGAAGGAGGAAAAAACAGAGTAAGAACAAACAACTTAGATTGTTCCAAATACAGGGAAAATGCCTTGTGACAGTAAGAACACTTATGTAGTAGGAAAGTGCTGGGAAATCTGCACAGCTGAATCTGTCACTGGAGATGTTTTATTCAAGGCTAGACTTAATACCACATCTGTCAAAAACTGTTTGAGAATGGGAAAATCAGCTCTGCCATGAAGTAGGAGGGTGGAAGGGAGGAGAGACTAGAACTTCCTTCCAAGCAGAATGCCGTAATACCCAGTTGACCACATAATGTTGTCTACAGTTTGGAATAAGCATGTTTTATTCAGCACGGTTAGTCAGTCATACGAAACAGTATAATGATTTCAGTGATGGTGTTTTGTTGAATACTGAAGATGTACAGCAAATTTGGGAAGCATTCAGCTCCTCATAAGTTTATACACAAAAGTGACCATGTTCACGGAATAGCCAGAAAAGGGAGGCAAAGACATTTTCAATCAGGTATCCTAAACTGGTTTCTGTAGCACATAGCCACAAGTCATCATTCTGGCATTTCTTGCTGGCAAGGAACCAGAAACTAATTTTCTCGTCACTCTTCTCCAATTCAGTGTCATGTGGTCGAAATTCTTAATGTAATGAAAGGCAAATACGATGCTCTATCCTGCCTCTTCCAGAGGTAGAGATCTCTGGCTTTGGTAAAATAGAGTGTGGACCATGTAAGCAATCCTGTTGGTTTCAGTGGGACTGCTTGTAGCAAAAGGACTAATCCATGCGTGTTTGGCTGTTCATGAAACAGATAGTGAGGCTGTCTATCCCATCAGGTATTCATTTCAATTATAAAATAAATAAAAGTCATATAGTAGTGGAAGATCTGTGCTAAGTTCTATAAATTAGTAATGGCATCAGTGGTTTTAATACTTGATATCTAGATAAATCCCTTAATTAATGTTTGTTTTGTAGGCATGTAAACAATACAGAAATCCCTGTCCCAACCCATTACTTTGTGGTTCTGACTAGCTGCAAGAACAAGTCCTATACTCCACTGAACTGTTCAGGCTCCTTGGATGCTTTGTCTTTTATCATTCCTCATCGACCTGACAACACTGAAAGCTGTGCTGTAAGTATAGTTCTATGCTCCTGTGTGCCAATGAGCTTTGTGAACTGATTCCCAGTGGGATCCAGTCATCTGGAGAGTCTTTAGAAGTCTAAGTGTTTAATTAATTCATTCCCCATGAGTTGAGAGTGACTTGAGAGCTAAAGCGATGGCTAGGAGAGCAAGAAGCTCCAGGAGAGGTAGCTCGAAACTAATGAGCTGACAGGAAGCGAGGAAGAAGAAGAAAGGAGGAGAAGGTAAGAGGACTTGGAAATGCTGTCACCTGAGAAGGGCTGCGAACAGCAGCACAGCCAACAGGGTGATGAGATACCTTTATGGAAGGCTGAAGGATAAACTTACTCCAGAGGTATCAGAGGACTGATAGTCCTGAATAAACTTACTCCAGAGGTATCAGAGGACTTTGAGTGTTACTCCCTTCAGTGTAGCTAGAAGAATTCCTTCAATCTTTTGTTCCACCTTTATTAAAATTAGACAGTAGGCATTTAAATGGATGGTTCTGCAGTTGAAATTTATACTTGAATTAAATAAAATCTACGCTAACATTTATACTAATTTAATTTATACTAACAGTGTAAATCTCATGTTTTGTAGCAAACAAAATAAATTAGCTGAGTGTAGTATGTATTGTTGAGCCAGCTGAGTTTCTATTCCATAAACTCTGGGATGCAGAAGGTTCCTTAGCTCAGTGTGTGTATTACAGTCTCCCCACACACAAGTATAGCTGCACAGGCTTGAACTGGCCCTCAAAGCAATGCAATTGTGTTTGTTTAGTTTATTTATAACTTTGAACTCATAACTCCAGACGGGTGCAAGCTTGCACTGCTTAGAAACAACTCAGGTGTCTCCTCATTTGTGGTGTGGATAATCCACAACTGCCCAGTGATCTTTCTGGTAGTTGAGAGTTGACTAAATATACAAAATAAATAATTTGAATTAATTAGTCTTTATGCTTTAGAAATTAACATCTGTTATTTCGAAAATTTAGCAACAAACCCCAAATATTGTTGCACTTTATATTCATTGTGTCTTGCAGTGATGTAAATTTAGTGAACCATTTGTGTTGGAAGCAAATATTGTTAATAGAAAAGCAAATTACCATCTGTTTGCAAAAAAACTTTGTAGTAAAAAAATTGAACAATAACATTTTTGATTGATTAGTGCTTACATTTCCATTATTTTCCCTCTCTATCTATCAATTATTATTGCTGTCCAACAGTCAAGACTGAGCTGCTGTAAGGACTTTGTTCAGGTTGTCAGGTGCCTGTTGTTTGGCTAGCCTGTAATTTGTTAATTAGCCTGTAATTTATTAATTTTACAGTAATATATACCGTAAGCAAAACTATCCCTACTTGTGTGTTTAAAACATGACTCAGCTGTACTTTGTAGTTAAAAGTCATACTTGCCATTTCAGCACAATTTTGCTTCTCTGTTACTTTGGAGGTGGGGAGGTGGGGAGAGGGGATATCCATTTGATTCTGTTTGAATGAGATCCCTAAATGCGAGGCTGTGAAGATGTCTAGGAAAACGTGAAAGAAGTTTTACCAACGGGAGGCCTTTAGTCTGTCAAACCAGTTCAAACACTGGTTATTGTCTAACACCACCGCCAAACAACAGGGTGTCTTTTACTTGTTTGAACATTGTTCTTGTTTGTTTTGGCAGGAAAATAAGACGCTTTCCGAATGGGTTCAAGAAAGAGTTCAGGCTCATTCTGCACGTGTTCGGGATGTGGAGCTGCTAACTGGGCTTGACTTTTACCAGGAAAGAAAGGAACCCGTCTCCGAGATCTTACAGCTAAAGACATTTTTGCCAATATTTCAGACTGAAATTAACTGAGTATCTGTTAAAAAAGTGTCAGTGCTTGGAAGAAAGCAAATTTGAGTGATTTAACTTTTTTCCTTGCTAAAGTATGTAAGAAACATGATTACAGCACTTCTATAGGAAAATGCACTTGGAGGAGCTAATTTCTTTTTTCAAATTCATGTTCTTCGGTTAAGTGTTCTGTGCCAACTGAATAAAAATTACCTAAAGTAAATTAAATCATCATTGCAGAGCCAGGCTTTCAAAACAGAGAATATTTTATTAGTAGTGGTTTGAAAAAAACCTGCAAAAGGAACATGTTTCGTAGTAGAGAGACCCCAGAATTGTAAACTGTATAGAAAATATTTCTATAATGGAGTTGGAAAGTGAAACAGTTTGAGAGGAGTTTGTGTGTTTTTTCCCTTGTGTTTATCAGAGAGGTTATGGTTATCTTACACTAGTATGTCCTGAAATGTTCTGAATTTCTCTTTTTTCTCACCTATTAATTCACATGGAAACTGCTATGTATTTAAAAAACATATTCAGACTCGTGAAAAGTTTGTATATAGTGGAGGTGTCTTCCGTGATCATCCCCTGTGTTTTCCACTTGGGTTAATTCATTATGCTAGTAACAAGTGAAGTGAAGTTAGAGTACCCTTCGGTACCCTTCAGCACAAAATTAGTGGTGACATCCAAAAAATAATCAGTGTTCCTTTCTATAGTGACTTTATACACAGAGACTCTCTAACTCACACTGTGCTGTACACAGATTACTACTGAGGGCAGGTAAGTGGGACAAGGCAGTGGAAATTCCCAGATTCTGCTATTGCAGAAATGTCACACGTTAGTTGAGTGCTGAGCTGATTTTCTCCGCTGAAAATGCTGCTAAGCACAGGTATGAATAACAGCAGACAATTGACCCTTTGTCTGATTTATAGGCACAGTGGGGGAGTTTTAAAGAAACATGTCAAAGAGTGTTTCAATCTGTAACTAGTTGTGGACTGAAGGAGATATGTCTGTTTAAAAAAGGAAGCTTTAAAAGCCTATACAAAAAAACCAAAACCACCACAGGACATTTTTTTTCCCCACATCTTAGATGATCCGTGTATGCACATACGCTCCAAACGTAGCTTAGCAATATTTATCTTACATCAAGATGTGGTACCAAGCTGAACGTCAAGATTTGTGTCTTTGGTTAAACCGTTACACCATCCCCTTGAACATGGAATTGTATTTCACCCTGCCACACTGTGGCACCTAAGTCTGTCCATCTAAATCGGAGACTTCTGCTAAACTGCCTCAATTAAGAATACAACTGATTCTTCCCTGCATAGTAAATCGTACCCTAACTCTAGTCAATGAATCTACACAACACATACTGATTTAGGCATGTAAATTAACCAGTCTAGAATCATAAAATTAATTTCAGAGATAAGAAGAAACAGTTTCTTAAGAGTATAATATTTGGTATGTCTACATTAGCGATTTAAAGTAGAACTAGCTTGACTGATGTGATGTTGTTGTGACTTGATATATTTAAATTTGAATTAACCCCTGTATCACCAACCATGGCAGCAATACAAGCTTCAGGCCAACACTGGTTCAATTATGAAAGCAAATTTCTGGTGTAGATGTGCCTTTGTGAACAGTTACACTCATGTTTGAATTACGTATATCTCTGGGTACCTGCATGGTGAAATAACATCTTTGAGGTTTGCCCAGACTTCTGAAAATTAATTTCATCCATGCTCTCACACGCGACAGGTACTGGACTTAAATAGCAGCCAAATTAATTCGCTGTCCTTCACAAGATTCTTTAATATTCTTCCTTATTAAAATGTCTAGCCTCCCCCCCCCCAAAAGCACCCCACCCCACTGATACAAGTTGGCCCCTTCTGCGTAAAGACCCCTGCCTATCAGGCTGACAAAAACTGTATTTCTCGTTCAGTATTTGTATAGCATCTAACACAAGAGGATCTTGATCACAGATTGGGGTTTTACACAGACTTTTGTGGTAATGGAGTCTGAAGTTGCAGTTACTCTAAGAAAGCAAATACGAAAGTGGTTTTGCTATAGTCATGTTTATTTCCCCTACTATTCGTCCAGCTGTCGTAATATCCGGCGTTCAAAGGTGTAGTGGGTCATTTACAGATGAAAGAATGGAGATTGCGTAGGAATATCTAACTGAAAATTTTCTGTGGGTAAAGGACTTTGTTCTTAGCCCTTTATTCTTCCCTCGGCACTGATGCCTGGGTACTCTTTTCATGTTGCAGGCTCCAGCTTTCTCAGTGCCAATTCTCTATGCAGTATCATGCAGCTTCCGTCACACCCCGTGACATAAACTCTGCTATAAACTGCTTCTGGCAGCATTGTGTTCCCTCGCCTGCTCCCCAGAGGCTGTAATGTCCATCTGTGAGTTGACCTTGTGGTTTCACAGGCCTCCTTAAACCTGTTGCATTTTTGTCACTTACAGGAACAATCACGGGAAGTTTTCTTTCCCTCATCACTACTAAGTTCAACCAGGGAGCCTAGTCATCAGCTGCTTTAGAACATGTCTGGATTTCTGACTGATTTGCTGGAAAACTGCGGGCTGAGTTTTCTTGCTTTCCCTTCCCTGGTTACACGAGCCAGTGCCTGCATTGGAGATTGGGAGAACTAGTAGTGAAGTTGATAGAATGATGATTGGGGGACAGATTTGGCTCTGTGTACCACCCTTGTGTCACATAATTAAAGCTGCACATGGAGGAAGTGCAGCTCTCAAACCCTGGAGATTTATGCAAGGGAAATTCATCGGTGTTTGGGCTTTGGTGACCTTATCTAAAATTTTTAACAGGTTCATAGGCTTGTACAGGCATTTTTGTTTAAATGTGACAATAAATGTAATGCCTTATCCATTTATAGAAATAAAAAATAAAAAATCTTGCCAGTTCATAAGAAAACACTCAGTACTGTGTACATATGGTTGCATTCCCAGCAGAGATATAGCCTGAAACTTATGCAGTTCCCTAAGACGTTTGTACAGATCTTTTCCTTTTTGAAATAGAGTAACTTCTGCCATTTGCATGGAGATGGAAATGAACAGCTGCCTCAAACAGAATTCATGTGCCACCAAAGCTACAAACTACAGCACAGTCATTCTGAGAATCTAGAAAATTTATTTTATTCAAATAACATTGACCTGGAACATTTCAACCACTTACGTTTCAAGACTCAGCTGGTTGTCCTGGTTTGCATTTCAAAAGCAAAGAATACTTATTCTTCATTAAAGTTATCAAATATACGAAAGTTCTGGTATGTAGAGGAGAGTAGGAGGGGAACAAGTTCTATCTTACAGTTCAAAGGCAGTGAAACTGTTTGTGACATTTTAAGAAGTCTACCTGGGACACGCTCCTCACTATAGAAAAGCAGGACAAAAGAACAGTTGACTGAATGTATAAAATTGTTTTTTTTTTTTTACTCAGAAATGCTGAGAAATTCAGAAGTTAAAATAAACAATAAAAATAATAACAAATAGACAATAACACATAGTAAATCCTGCATATGGCAAATATTTAATTTTAAAACATACTCCTCCTTTGTTAACCACTCTGCTTTGTCCTGAGAACTAAGAAATAATGCTGTCTCTGAAAGTTTCAGACTTCTCCTATTTCCTAGGAGATGTGGGTATAACTTCCCCGAAATGGCAAGCCCTTTGTTTCTGTGTTTTTTAGCCAGTTTTGGGACCCCTAAGTATGAAGCTGGAGTGGAACAGGCATAAATCAGTCTGCTGACTGTAAAAGCAGATGTTGCTGAGTGCCAGCTCTCATAGCCACCTTAAGTGTGAGAATTAAAAATGTAAATTCTGTAAAACATGATTTTCCATAGACTACTACTGAAGCTGAGAAACTGAGCACTCCCGTAGCCATTGAAAATCTGAACTCGGGAGGATCTGGCTGTTTCCCTCTCTTATGCTTGGGTTTTTTTGAGTTTTAGAGTATTAGAACCAAACCTGTAAGCAAATATAGAACTTCGGCACTACCTATAGCTAGTCTTGTCTCTGTAGCAAGGCAGAGCAATAACGAAAGACAGTAGGCAAAGGAAACACAGCCTACCCTGCTCCAGAAAATCCTACAGCCAGAGGAAGGAAAAGCTTAACTGATTTCTTTTTTTAGCAAGTGCTACTGTTTCCATAACACCACGCCCTGGCTCTGTGAGACTGTCACCATATAAAACAAACTTTTTTTTTTTGCTTAATATTTATTATAGAGACCGCTGGCTTTTTGTCAGTACCCCACTGAAGGCTACCTTCAAAGTTGAGTGCAGACATTTAAATGGCACAGAATACCCTTGTCTCCTACCTCGAACATTCTTCCTTAAGGAAAATAGTATTAATGGATATAGAAAGGGCTGTTTTTTTCAAATTACCTCCCACACTGGTCCTGCAATGTTTGTACACAGGATGATGGGATTTTTCATATGCAAAATGTGCAATTGTGTTTCTAAGTACAGACTTTTTCTACCCTACTGTGCCATTTCTGTGCAGTGCGGGGAGTTCCTGCCCCTGGGTGAAGAACTGTCAATAAGGATGCAGGCAAATCTGTCATGCCTTTGGACCTGATGACTTGGCAAAAGTGGAGGTTCAGAAATGTCCTCTTAATCAAGCAGCACTTCCCTGCCCCATCACATTTCCCCTGGAGGGGGGGAAGTGAAGACTGCTGGAATGACTTTCCTTCCCATAGTCTGGACGTAGCAGGACATTTGAATCCTTCCCAGTCCCTGGAGCAGGAACCAAAGAACAGGAGTGTCCTCAGAAGGACGAAAAGTGGTGGGTGGAATGTGATTTGGTATCAGCCAGGGTCATGGCTTAGGACAGCTTTGGGATCAACCAGACATGAAGCGGGAGGAGTCTTTGCCAAGGACCCAAATTTCTTATGAATGTATATTAAGGAGACCTGGCAATCGATGTGGCACATAAACCAAACTGCCCGCTGTCCAGGAAGCTCAGCCACCGCCTGCTTTGCCTGTAATGGTTGGAAGTTGGAAGGAGAGCAAGTGCT